TAGCACAAAAGTTTGAGAATACTGAAGAGCCTCTGACAGAATTTAGTGATTATAAATACTTCTATTATAAAAAGTCACTATAATTAGGAATTAACCAAACAATTTAGCTAGGAACTTATTGAAGTCAAAATTTTTTATTAGCTTCTTTTTTTATTTAATAATAGTTTAAGTTACTTGTTTTTGTATTGAAATTAAATTTAGGATAGAAATTATTATTAGGTAAAAGAAAAAAGCATAGTAATATCTAATCATTGTATATTGATAGAGATTTTATTAATAATTATTTTTAGAATATAATGGGATGACTGATTGATCTGAAGTTAGTAAGTTTTTTAACTTACAAGAACATTTTAGATAGTTTTTTTTATTTTTTCTACTATAAATACCTATTTTTAGGATTTCTATATATTCACCTACTGGATCTGTAATTTTATAATAAAATTAAGCATTATTGTATCTTTAAAAAATAAAAATAATTATAAGAAAATAAAACTTAGTTTATTAGATTTATCTTATTAAAACCTATTAAATGATTACAGTCGTCTCCCTTTAAAGTCACATCTCTCAAAACTAAAAATAAAAAGTATGATTATAATAAAAAGTTACTATACAAGAAGATTTTTATATATTGTTACTAAATATTAGTTCTGGAAAAGTGTGATTATAAAAACATTGTGATTATAAAGAGATTTTTTTATATAGTATTAATAGGTATTAGTTCTTATGAAATATATACTTATAATAAGGAATTTATATGATGTGATTATATAAGATGATAACTATAAAGAGGGACAACTGTATATTTTATATTTTTGAGATCAATAAATAGCAAAATATATAAGTTTAAAATTTTAATTTTTTTTCATAATAATTTATCATATATTTATCTTTAAAATATTACTAATTAATTACATTTTTTTTTGAATTTTTACTTAGAAAACATCATAAAATTTATTATAAAAATATTAATTTTTAAATAAATTATTTTAAAAATATTTAAAAATATTATAAATAATTTTAATTATTAAATAAAATTACAGGCAAATTTGCCTACAAAATGCTTAAAGGGATAATATTAGTATATTATATATAATATAATATTAAATTTAAATGATTTATAATTGTTTTTTATTAATTTTATTAAATTTTATAATTTTTAAATAATTTATTGTCATTATTAGATAAAATATATATAGAATATTATAATCAACTATTACTATTATAAATTGTAAAATTTATACAAATTTTTTAGTATATAATTTAAAAATTAAAGTAAAATTAAAAAAAATCTTAAAAACAATAAATTTTAGTTTTGATAAAGATGAATTTGTAAATAATAATAATATAAATAAATTTATGAATAATTAAATTAAATATCTAAAAAATTAATAAATAATATTTAAGTATTAGTAATATAAATAGTAAAAAAATAATCTAATTACTTATAGAGTTTTTCAATTTTAAAATTATTGAAAATTATTAAATTTATATATTTACAAATTATTTATTTAATAAAATATAAATTACAAAATATATTATTTAACATTTATATTGAATATCTATTATATTAGATAAATTAAATTTAATTGATTGATTAGAGTTTTATAGAAATTGAGTTATAATTAAATCTGATTTCTAATATTATTAGCTATCTTAAATAATAAAGTATTAAATATATATTTTGTCAATTATGTAAGCTACTATTTATTTTTTTAAAACTTTTTTTTACATAAATAATAATTTTCATTTGTTTTTTTTTAAAAATTAATTTTCTTTTACAATTTTATATTTTTATTACTTTTTCAATAGAAATTATAAGTAATTATTATTAGTATTATTTTAAATTAATAATTAACATTTAAAATATTTCAAATTTACAATTAAAGAGTTAACACAATTGTATATTATTAAATATAGTTAAATATATTGAAAATGTGTCAATATTTAATACTTGATATAAAAATGTAAGTACAGAATTACTTTTTAAAAAAATAAATTAAAAGTAAAATATATAAATTTATATATGTAAGAATAATAAAAGATAAAAATATTTACAAACTTCCTTTAAAATACTATTATTTTAATCATCTGTTATCTTAAAATTTCAAATTAAAATAAAATTATAATTTTTTAGTTAAAACTAATTTTTTAAAACTTTAGTTACACTTAATAATACTTTAAAGAAATAAAATAATTAAGGATAGATATTACAAAATAATATAAAAGTTTAACAAATGAGAAATTAAAATTATTCTATATAATAATTCTATGTTTCTAAATGAATCTGAAGGATTATATAAGAGAGTTTTCTTTTGGGTTTATTTATTAAGATGTTTATAAGATAATGAATACTTTAATTTACTAATTAAATGTTTAAAAATACAGAAAAAAAATTTTATTTTTAAGAAATCAAAAAAATAATCAAAAAGGATTAAAAAGTAATCAATTATCTTTGAAATACTATTTCTATTAGATAGGCTAAACCTAATGCAGATATTATAAGTATATATTAATAAAACCTCTAAATTTTATAACTAAGACATTTTTATTTAAATATTTTAACAAATACATTTGATAAATAAATTATGATTATTTAATGAATTTTATTTTTTCTAATAATTTCTAAAGGAATATGATATTATGATTGAGGATATGGTGAAAATGAATTAGAGAAATGTTTTGATAAATTTGTCTAGTATATAGTATTGATATATTTGGAAGAAATATTTCATAACTAACTTAAAATAATAAAGGAAAAAAAGAAAATATTCTTAATTTGATTATGCAAAAGTTAACCGGAATTATAGAACTTATATTATTCATAAAGATGATATATTACAAGACAAGATATTTTACATTTTATTATAACGATAATATATTTAATTTATATTCACAATTAATTTAAATTGTATAGTTATCCAATGGTCTTTACAACTATATAATAGGAAAATTAAAAGGCCATTACAAGATAGCAAATACAATTAGTTCAGAGAAACCACAGAAATTTTCCCTTGACAGTGCAAAGGACTACTTTACTTCTCTTAGTTCGAATTAAATAACAAAATGGGGAAAAACAATTAATATATTATTCTATATATAAATAATTAGTTTTAATGCAATTATTTGCAATTATGCAATTTTAATAATACAGCCTGATAACCGATTTATTATAGTCTGTTAAATATAAAAAAAATCCACGGGATACCGGATAAATTCATTTACTGCGTCATAAATTACTAACAACTTATTAATTAATAACTCTGACGAATTAATAATAATTATTAATAATTTCAGGGGTTTTTACAATTATTTATTATTATTACAATTATAAAATAGAATAATAATAAGGGAAATTAGAACAACAGTATTTATGTTACGAAATATAATATATTAAACGAATTAATAATATCAATTAAGAAAAGTAATGGATCGTTTATTACAACTTACAAAATATACACACTATAAAAATATATCAATGAAATAAATATAATAATTATAACATACTGCAATATAATAAACTTAAATTAAATAAACTTGCAATTTTGAGCTCTGGACTCTCCGTTTCCTAGTTTATTTAATAAATAATCAGATTTTAATATTAATAAGGATCCACTGATTTAAAATGATCTAACCAAATTCTGATTTTTTTAAAAAAAAAAAATAAATCAATCAGGAAAATCCTTACATTCATTTTACTTTTTGATTATGTCTTCAGATTATATATCTCGAAACGCGAAAATACAAATTTATGATAGCTTGCATAATTCTAATAATGATTTTTGTATCGGGCTTTGTGAAAAATTATGGAATGAATTAATTAAAGAACCCGTAAATGACGAGTCTGATGGTAATCATATAATTGTTTTATAATTAGCTTTAATATGTAACATTTTAATAGATAAATTGAATTTATATTTAACAGCTATAAGAGCGACTCTTAAGCCTCATATTTGTGTTTCTATTACACCTTTGGATCTAAATTTGAAAAATCCAATTAGAACACAAAAACAAAGATCATTGATTTCTTCAATTATTACATACGCAAGATTACAATATCCTGATAAATTTGAAGAAACACCTGAGGTAAGAAATTATTAATAATCAATTTGATTCGCAGAAAATTACTAACTAGATTATTATTTCTTCAGGATCATGTTATTTATGTATCAAATGATTTCGTAAAACAAAATAATTTGCGAGATGTAATCGAAGCAGAAGTTAGGATGATTGCTCCGATTGAATTGGAAGAAGTTATCATTGGTGCTTTGAATACCGAGTCATATGAAAGCTTGAAAAAAGGTTTTGGGTTTCTCATTAAATTCATAAAAGTATGTTTATTTATTAAATAATTTTAATTAATATTTCTTTATTACAATTTTGTCGAATTCATCAAAGAAAAGATCCTTCCGCAATATCAACTTATTTTTATTCATCATTGCCTATAATAGTTAGACAATCGCAAATTTATAATCTTCGGCCAGTTTCTGATCCTAAAGTTTTAATTAAATTCAAAGCACTAATGTGCAATCCGGTTTTACAAGGAATTATTGGAACTCATACGGATTTCATTATAACTGATTTATCACAAGAAGCTTTGGGTTATGATTTTGAAGAAAAAGAAACTGATGTTAACCATGGCATTGAATTTGATTTTGAAGATTTGTTAGAAGAACAAAATATTTTGAATTTGAAAGATGATTATATGGATACCCAATTGGCTTTACTTGAGGTTAATGGACAAGATGTCGGAAATGGATATGAATCTAATACATCTACAACATCTTCAGATGATGAATGTTTAAGTACCATGGTTTCTATTTCAAGAAAATCTAATTTTACTCCTCAACTTTTATCATCTCCCTTTCCTGCTTTTTTAATACAACCTATACCAAAAGAAAGAGAGGATCCTGAATCAAGAGTTCTAATTAGTATAAGAGATTTGGCCAAGTTGGGAATTCAAAGTGGGAGTTGGGTGAGAAATAATTTATTATTTATGTAATATTTATGATTATCATTATCACATTATATATTTATATATTATTATTATTTCATATTAAGGCATTAGTATCAGGACCCATTAATGAGAAAACTAGGTTATGCAAAATTTATGCTATCGATATTTCATCATCATTCACAGAGTATTTATTATTCTTTTTAATAAAATGTTCTGAAGTTGTTTTCTGAAGTTTCTCTAGTAATTTACCTTGAAATTTTGTCATTTAGGTCATCATGTCCTCCTGCTTATATTTCCCCATTACTTCATTTCAATCTTGGATTTTCTAACGCTAAGAATTTGACTTCTGAGCAGCTATTCATTCAACCAGCTATTAGAATACAATCTCCGCCTCCCGTAGCCAAATATTTAGTTGTTGCTAGAATAGCTTTTCCAAATTGTAATGATAGATTTATCTATAATGCCAGCATATGTGGTTTAGAAAAATGGTTTGAAGAGGCTGATAGGATCGTTAGTGAAGGAGATATTTTCTCTATTCCAATAGATGGTAAATGTCTTTTCAATTATTCATATATTATTATTATTATTATGATTATAATATCCGACTTATTGATATTGATATAACACACCAAATCTAACATTATAGAGGAGGCTGCTAGATTAAGACCACAAAAAGTTGAGGGTGATATTGATACATCAGATGACATTAAAATCGCTACCTCTCCACTAAAACCAACAACGGTTGTTCATTTCAAAATTACCGAGTTGAAACCTAAGAACAAAAAAAAAATGATGTTATATGGATCTGGTAGATTAGTGGACACTAAATTAACTAGGATTGAGCAAATAGGGATGGTGCATTCAAAAGTTCCCATAGTAAAACAATATTTTGGGATTACTTCAAAATTTTCCAATCAAAATTCGATCTTAACATCCCCTGGAACTCCTTATGCTAAACTTTATGATCTCATTTCATCTTGTCTTCATCCAAATGCTGTCACTCTTAACCTTAGTTGTACAGTCCTTTTAAATGGTCCTCGAGGTTGTGGAAAGAAAACAGCGGTTGAATGGGTAGCAGATTCAGTTGGTGTGCATGTTTTTGAAGTGAATTGTTTTGATTTTGCGGGGGAGACCGATGCGAAAACGGAAACATCACTACGTATGAGATTAGATAAGGCAGTAACAAGTTCCCCATGTGTGTTCTTATTACGACATATTGATGCATTGGTGAGAAAAAGTGCTGTTCTTGAGACTGGTCAAGATCCAACCATTTCAACTATTTTGCAAGATTGTTTCAAGCAACTTTTAATAAATTTTCAAAACATTGGATATCCTGTGTTAGTTGTAGGAACAACAGGAGATATTGAAGAAGTTCCTGCGAGCGTAATAGGATGTTTTAGACATGAAATTGCTTTTGAATCACCATCGGAAGCTGCAAGATTAGCCATATTAGAACAATTAACATCTGATACACCTTTAGCTCCAGATGTGTCATTATCACTTTTGGCAACACAGACCGCTGCACTCGTCGCAAAAGATTTGGTTGATTTGATCGCGAGAGCCGGATTGGCATCACTTGAACGGGTTGAAATTTCTTTAAAAAGGACAAATAAACCTATAATAAAAGATTTAGACATTGTTCATGCTGGAATTGCATTGACTGCTACGGATTTTGAGAATGCTCTTAACAAGGCGAGAGCATCATATTCTGACAGTATAGGAGCACCAAAAATTCCTAACGTTACATGGGATGATGTTGGAGGTCTTGCAGCCGTGAAGCATGATATTTTAGATACAATTCAATTACCTTTAGAACATCCAGAATTGTTTGCAACTGGAATGAAAAAGAGATCAGGAATTTTACTTTATGGACCACCCGGTACGGGAAAGACGCTTCTTGCTAAAGCAGTAGCGACTTCATGTTCTTTAAACTTTTTTTCAGTTAAAGGACCAGAATTACTTAATATGTACGTGGGTGAGTCTGAAGCTAATGTACGACGAGTTTTTCAACGTGCCCGAGATGCTAAACCATGTGTCATATTCTTTGATGAGTTGGATTCAGTTGCACCTAAAAGAGGAGAACAAGGTGATTCTGGTGGAGTAATGGATAGGATTGTTAGTCAACTATTAGCTGAATTAGACGGAATGGGTCAAGGAGGAGGTGCAGCAGATGTGTTTGTAATTGGCGCAACCAATCGTCCGGATTTATTAGATCCGGCACTACTAAGGCCTGGACGGTATGTTACCAAAATATGAGTGTAATTATTATGATACCGGTGTTTTATTTGTTTAATAATCTCCATTTTTTTGTATCAGATTTGATAAGCTCCTTTATCTTGGAGTGAGTCAAGATCATGAAACTCAACTTAAAATCATTCAAGCATTAACAAGAAAGTACGTGTACATTTTTATTATTTTAATATACTATAAAAGAATTTTTTTTTTTATTTTACAAATTTCTCCCCTAGGTTCCGTTTACATCCTTCATTGGACCTTCGCGCAGTTGCAGAAAAATGTCCATTCAATTATACAGGTGCAGATTTTTATGCACTTTGCTCAGATGCGATGTTAAAAGCAATGTCAAGAACAGCCGAGGCTATTGAAGCCAAAGTTGGTAAGTTTTTATCGACCAACTTAGTTCTTTTTGTCGTTTCACATGATTAATATTATTTTACTTTTTATGATGTAGCTAAAATAAATGCCAATCCTTCAACAAATCTTCCAAAACCAATAAATTCACAATATTATCTTAATCATCTTGCCATACCCGATGACATACTTGTTGAAGTTAATCAAAATGATTTCGAAAGAGCTTTAATCGAATTAATACCCTCGGTTTCCGAAAAAGAATTAGAACATTATAAGATGGTTCAAATGAGATTCACTCAAGAAGAAGCGAAAAAATTTGGAGGAAATGATGAGCAAAAGTCATATTCTAATAGTAAGATTATTGACGATGGTGTAATTACCGAGTATAATGGTAAAAAGAATGATAAAAAGGGTAAAGGTAAAGCAAAAGTTGGTTAGCACAAAATAAATTTTTTAATTTAAAAAAGACAAAAAAATTCTTTGTAAGGTTGATATAAATAAAATAGGCTAATACTACGTAATCGTAATACAATGGCGTCATCATATAAATAAAAAAGAAAATCTTGCTTGATCATCATCGATCTATAAAGAAAGTCTTTATTTGTTTTACCATACGTGTTTGAAGAAAGAAAAATTTCCGGTTTGTAAATAACTAAAATAGAAAACATTCCCAAATATTACTTCTTTCACACGAATTATTTGTTAGATTGGTTAATTATTTTTTTTTTTTAAAAAATTTCATACAAACTTTTAGAACGAGATTGACATCCAGTCATTTAGTAAATGAATGATGAAAAAGAATTTCCATCGAAAGGTAAAGAATTACAAAAGAATTGACTATAATGTAACGAGTATAATGTTTCCTTTTTTATTAAACATGAATCCGAAAATCACTTAAAGTAATCACTTTGAAATTGATGAAATGGGGTGATGACCAAAATGAGGATATGATTAAAACCAGACCGCCAGTTTATAAGTTTATTAACCGCAGTAGTAATGTTAAAATAAAAATAAATTAATAGAGATTTCCAAATATATCCACAATTAAATATTAAATGAAAGAACCCCTTCCCATTAATATAATGCAAAGCAACAATCAATAGGCTATGAATTCTGTCTAATACATCCTAATACTTAATTTGGAATAAATTTATTTATGTTGTTGACTAATTTTTTTGATTGCGAAATGCGTCAAATAAATTCGAAACATTATTGTTATGATTATTATGATTTATAAAAAGAAAAAAAAAAAAAAAAAAGAAAATAATTATAATTATATTTTTTAATATATATAACTAATGATTTATATAAATAATGTGTTTGATTTGTGGGAAATTGATTTGATCAACTTGATTTTCCTTTTATAATTTTTTGTTACAGCAAACGAAGTTTTTCCGAAAGAAATTTGGTTTTATTTTGAGTTTTTCGAGGCCTTTGATAACGAACCTACCGTGACATTAACGACGTATATACTTTAATTATTAACTAAGGTTGGTTTTACTTAACCTCGTTTTAGTGTTGAGTAATTATATTAAGCAGTCTTCCAAATTTCATTCAAAAAAAAAAAAAATTATATATATACATACGTATATATACACTTACATACAAATATATATATATATTTATATACATATATATATATATATCAAAAGACAAAAACTCGGCAGTAATGTCAGCACCTGAGGAAAAAGACTTTAGCGTGGACCGCGCTACGCGACCTGAAAAGCCCGGTACCTTGGGTAAAGAGGTCATGATAAAGGCCAACTTCATAGGTGTAACAAAAGTAAAAAAGTTCACGATATATAAATATGTGTTTATTCATTACTTCGATAAAAAAAACTTATTTTACTATTTATTATATCTTTGAAACTAATTTAATAGTTTAGTTATCCCGAAGTGCATTATTATTCTTTTGAAATCGTTGACCAAAAGAAAAAAAAGGCGGGTAGAAAAGATTCGGATAGAGTATTTCTACAAATGAAAGTGACTAAAAAATTTGGGACAAACACTTATCCAACCTTTGACGGTGGTCAAGTATATTCACCAACCGAACTTGCAATAGGTCACAGTAAAGAAACAAGGAGTTATGATGTAATATATCGATTAAATATTGATATTTAATAATTTATTTTATAAAATTTAATTAATTATTAACAAAATTGATGATTCTCATGAATATAGATTACAGTTCCCGTGGAAGCTGACGGCTCAGGACGTGAAAAAACTTTTAAAGTCGAAATAAAACATCAAGGAACGATCGTCCTAACTTCCATTGGAGATTACGTTAAGGATAATTCAAAAACTCCTTGGGATGGTAGTATTCAAAGTAATTTGACTGTTTTGAATGCTTTCGCAAATAATAAAGTTCGATCAGAGTACTTATCGGTGGGAAAAAAGGCTATATTTCCACCATCTCGCGATAACAGACCAATTTATTTACCGGGAGGCATTGAAATGAAACAAGGATTCTATCAGTCAATAAGACCTGGGTGGGGTAGGTTCTTGAATTTACGATCATTTTGAAATTCAATGTAACATTTTAACATTATATATTATTATGCTCAAACTTTTCACAGGTAGACTTGTAATAAATGTGGATATTTGTGCTACCACTTTTTATCCAGCGGTACCTGTAATTGATATTATACCCAAAATCGTTAAACATCCTCGCGACAGACACGAAAAATCAAGGGATGATTTACGTCGCGGTCTTGATCGAAAAGAAATTGATGTTCTGAACTGGTATCTTAAAGGCGTCATGATGTTTGTTACCCACAGATCAGATAATCGCAAACCAAAATATAAAGTTTCTTATGTCGATCATCAACCAGCTGATCTAGCTAAATTCAGGCAAGGCAATAAAGAGACCACGGTTGCAAAATATTTTAGAGAAAATTATGGACAATCCTTGCAATTTCCGCGGTTACCATGTATTGTCGTTGTTAAACCACAAGATAAGTCAAAATCATATTTTCCTATTGAAGTTTGTGAAATCTGTCCCGGTATGTGTATATATAGATGTATAGATATATTTTATTGTTTAAATGAGGAATTCTACTGATTAAAATGTTCTTTTTTTTAGGACAAAAATTTGAAGATAAACAAATGCCTGATGATGCTCGAAGAGAAATGGTTCAAAGAACCGCCGTTAAACCATGGGATAGATTTGATCGTATCGAGGGAGCTATTAAAGGAATCTTTAGACACAATAACGACGAAAACTTGCGCTCGATTGATTTGGTTACAGATCCCGAATTTATCAAGCTTAAAGGTAAACTTATATAATTACGATGGGGGATATGTTATACTAATTTTTTTTTAAAAAATAAAATTGTGTTAATCATTTATCATATTCACTGAATGATTTAGCTCGCGTTCTCCCACCACCAAAACTAACGTCTAATGGTGCGAATATTAATCCACAGGGGGGACGTTGGGATTTAAGAAGATTTACTGACGTAAAAGATTTATATCATCGTTATATCATTATAGAGTAGATAAATTTTTATTTATCAATACACAAAATATTTGAAAATCTATTTCTAGTGTCCTGATATCTATAATTGGTCGGTAATGGTGTTTGAAAACAGAAGTTATTTCCCTCCAGAAGTAGTAAGAAATGCAATGAAACAACTACGTAATTCTTTGCACGAAAAAGGGTTGGTTAGTATAACTAAAAGAAATCATTACTATTAATATTTACAAAATGATTAATAAAAGTACTTGTTGATATTTTTATGTAGAATGTCTCAACAGATCCTTATATCGAATATGGCAGTCCACATGGAGATTATGAAAAAGTAAATTACTCCAAAAAGCTAAACGGTTGATCATTCGAATGTTATTAATAAATATTATTCAATAATTGATATTATTTATAATCTAGTCGTTAGCGCTCGCTTACCAAAAAGCTCGGATAAAAAAAGATAGACCACCCCAGCTTATTATTTGTATAATTCAGAAAAAAGTTTTGGGAGCATCAGGCATTCACGCCCAAATAAAACGTATTTGTGGTACAATACTTGGTGTGGTTTCGCAATGTATTGTTGCCAACAACATGAAAGGTCCTAATCCCAATCGCTGGAGGCAAATCTGTGGTAATATTTCTCTGAAAGTTAACGGAAAATTGGGTGGTAAAAACTGTGTTTTGGCCGAAAGAGAACTCAATTTTGGAACAAATAAATCGGTATTTAATGCTATTGTTTTTTTTTTTTTTTGGTTAATATATTAAACTTTTTTATAATTATATTTAGTATATGGTCTTTGGTGCTGATGTATTCCATCCTGGTCGTGAAGAAAAAGGACGGCCAAGTGTTGCTGCAGTTTGCGCGTCAATGGATAAATCTGTTACTAGATACGTAGGCCGATACAGCATGAATAGAAAAATAAGAAATGAAACCATCGAGAATCTCGAGGGGATGGTGGCAGACTTGATAAAGCAATTTCAAAGAAGAAACGATGTACTGCCTTTCCAAATTGTGTTCTACCGTGACGGTGTCGCTGAAGGTCAATTTGAGCACGTTCTCCATGAGGAAGTTAAGGCACTAAAACGCGCCTTTGATCGAATTTACGGTGAAAAAGACGTAAAACCACAATTAACATTTATTATTGTGCAAAAACGTCATCACGCACGGTAAGGAGATTTATCATTTAATTACCCTTACAGAGATTTATTTATATTTATTTCTATACTTTTATGCATTTATATTATAGGTTCATGCCTATTAGAAAAGAAGATTCCGATAGAAGCGGTAATTGCCAACCTGGAACAATTGTGGATACTGAAATCGTGGTACCTCAGGAATTTGACTTTTGTAAGCAACATGAATTTCTTTGTTCATTTTGATATCATGTATAATATATAATAATAGTTATAAAATTCTCGTGTATTTTATCTTGTTAGATTTGCAGTCTCATGCGAGTCCTCTAGGAACAGCTCGGCCAACGCATTATCACGTATTGTTAAATGAGGCCAAATTTCCAGTTGATGCTATACAAAATTTAACTTACAAATTATGTCATTTGTCCGTCAGGTATTGATAACGTTCAAAGAAGAGTTTTATGAATTTAATCAAGATGAATTACTCACTAATTACATTTAATTTTTAGATGTAATCTGACCATATCTCATGTGACTCCCGTTCATTATGCCCATCACATCGCAAATCAAGCCAAGCATTTCGTTATGTGGGATGGTGCTAGTAGCGGAAGATCTGGTAGCTCAGGTGGTCGTGGTGGTGGTGGCCGTAACAGTGACGTTACAAATGCCACGTGTGAGAGAATCAAAACCGAGATTGAGAATATGATGTATTTTGTTTAGAGGAAGTAGTGCGTATTAGTATAACTTGTTTTTCTTAATTTTATTAAATGATTTTATTAAATGATTTTATTAATTTTTTTAATACTATTGTTTAATGTTATAATTTCTTAATATCTTGCATCAATATATATACATACAATTTATATGCGAACGTTCATTATTATATACTAAATATATATATTAGAATTTAAAAACGTTTCTGTTATTTTATTAATATAAAATCACGTGATAGCTTTCTCAGTGAGGTTGTTTGGTTTCTTTAATAACAATTAATAAAAATCTTTTTTTCAAACTAACTTTAAAATGCGCTTTTTTTTTTAATTCACTAGGGAAGCGAGAAAAGAAAAAATATTTATGATTTGTTATTTATTTATTTATTTATTTATTATGGTTATGATTATTATTATTAATTTATTTTATTTATTGATTATTATTGATCCTTTAAACTAATAATTGACCATTAGAATGAAATGAAGCATTTGTATGATCCCTTAAACCAACAAGCAAGAGATTGTATCGTTATACTTTATTTAATGCATTTTGAAAATGTATTGAATGGAGTAGCTTTTTTTTATTGTTTAATTAAGTGAATGATTTAATGATTAAATCTTTACTTTGATCCCAATCATATAAAACCGAAAATTCATCAGATCTCAAGAAATTGTCAACTTCATGATGAATGTTGAATTTCCTTGCCTATATAAAGTATTTAACGACAAAAGTTTTTAAAATGATCTAAACATAAAATATATTCGATTTGAAATACTCATAACTAACCTGTTCCATGAATTCAGATACTTTTATTGTTAAACTTCCAATCCAAGATTGTCCACTTGAAGCTGTTTTGAGTCGCGCTTTTTCTTTAATCATGTCATTGAGTATATCTGTAAGTAATTCGGATTGTTCCTTTGATTTGTTGATATATTGTGCGAATTGCTAATGATGACAAAAATAAATAAGTATTTCGTTTGATGTAACAATTTTAATCACGTGAACCAATTTTTATTACCCACCCTTCTAAGTCTATTTGAAATTGCGAATTTCTGAGAGTCAAAAAAGCTTTGTAACACCACGTCAATAGCAACTTCAATATCAATTTTTGCTGTATGAGAACGAAGATGTATTCTATAAAAAAATTTATGGATTAAATATTAATTTAACCAAAGAGAGTAAAATTGATTATTGAAACTCCATTACCTTGCGTGAGCTTCAGCCAAGCGCAACATGGACTCTAAATAACGAACCGTAATTGGGATACCGCCATTTTGCGCCTAGTTATAAAATCAATTGTTAATTCTGATTGATAAAAAATTAATATTTTATATAAACATTACCTCTCTTCTCAATTTTGAATAAAGGTCCGAAACCAAGTTTTCATTAATATTACTCAATTGTGGTTTTATCTGCTTTGCGTAAATGATATACTTTCTCAAAAGGTCTTGCGGAATTGTCTGTTACGAAAAATAAAAAAAAAATACATATTCATATTATAATATAAAATATTAGTTAACATCATGAGATAAAGAAATATAATGATAACTTACTGATTTATCTTGTTGAACAGATGGAACAATTGTGTGATCTGGATGACTTTTGACATGACTCTCTACCACAAATTCTGCAAGGAATTCATCTATTGTTGGGTCAACTGTATCTTTGACAACGCAAAGGACATCAAAACGCGAAAGGATAGGTTCTGTTAATTCGACATTATCTGAAAACGATTTAGATGTATTATATCGACCACCAACAGGATTTGCTGCCGCGATTACAGCACATCGAGCGTTGAGCGTGGAATTTATTCCTGCTTTTGAAATTGAAATAGTTTGTTGTTCCATAGCCTCATGAATGCTCACTCTAAAATTATTTTAGACAATAAGCGTTAGGTAGGTAAATTAATTGGAAAATAATTTTATTAATGAGTACTTACCGATCCTTATCTTCCATCTTATCAAATTCGTCGATTAAACATATACCATTATCAGCAAGTACGAATGCGCCACCTTCTAAAGTCCATTCTCTCGTTATAGTATCTTTTTTCACTGATGCAGTGAGACCAACAGACGATGAACCACGACCAGATGTATAAACAGCACGATGTGCAGTTTTTTCGACGTACTTCAAGAATTGAGATTTTGCTGTGCCAGGATCTCCAAGCATAAGTATATTAATATCACCGCGCAATCGGTGTTTATCTTGAATATTTTTAGCTACTCCACCGAATAATGATAAAGCTATAGCCCTTTTAATGTCCTCATGACCATAGATAGAGGGAGCAATACTTTGATATATCTAATTTATAATATAATTAATATTTTTTTTTTTTCAAAAAAAATTTGTGAAAATGTTATTAACCTTATTGGCGATTTTCGGATCTTTGGCGAGGTTTTTCAATTGTTCCCTATCTTCATCCGTCAACCTATAAGTTGAGTATAGGTCCTCCCTTTTAACAATATAATTTGCCTCAATGATAGTAGCAAATACCGGAAATCCATTTTTTATATTTAAAGAGAAATCAAAATTATTACGATATACACCGGTGACTTCCTGGAAACAATATAAGATTAACATGAGTAATGTTATTTAAAAATACATTCATTATATTTACAACGATGCATACAATTTCGTCACCAGGTTTCACGGTATCTATAAGATCACAAAGCAAAATAACCTCCCGATGTCGAGGCAACCTCCCAGCAGGGATTGTACCAGGAGTTTCTTGCATAGTGATTTTTTGGTAATCGCTATACATTGTCTGATGGGCAAATTTAATTAATATATTGTTAAGAAATCAAAACCGAGGGCTGGTTTACATTATCTCACCTGTTCTGTATTCAAACTGAAAGGTCCTTTGGACTGACAATGACTACAGTGATTTAGTTTTATCTCGGACTGAAGATCTTGAGTGTAAGGTCCAAGAATTCCACCGCACTTTAAACAATTATATTTCACAAACTTTAACTGAGGAAATACACCGGTTCGCCTTGTTACAACGCCCGAAACGCGTACGAAAGTATTGAGGTGAGTATGCCTAATAAATGATTTTATAAAATATCTCGTCATTGAAATTCATGTTAATAATCTTTTTACTTATAGATAATCTATTACCTGAGATCTCTAAGTGTGTTTAAGATTGGGTAATCTATTATCCGAACATGCATCTCTTTATTTAATTCCTCATAATGCGGATGTTTTTTAAATATAACATCAGTTGCAACTTCATCAAAAAGTTGCAGCATTTCCACGGGTGATCTCTTAAGAAATCTCGCTAGAATTGGTTTATCAGATTCTAAATGCTTGTAACTGACTTCCAAACTCTGCAATTGATCTAAAATTTTTTTTATATATCAAAGTCTCAATTTTAAAATATTCTAAAAATGAGATTTAAATAAATAAATCGTTACCTTTTGTAAGTTCTTCAATTAAAGGCCAATATACAGATTTTCCATCTTTTGTATACTTGCGTAAGAAATTACTGAACTGACGCACGATTCCTTTTTGTACAGCAGGATTTTTAATCCATTCACCTATAGAAGAAGCCTTTACATCTGCTAATTCTTCATTATTCATACCCTAAAAACATTTATATAATATGAAAATTGATCTGAAGTTCGACCAAATAAAATGAAGTCATATTAAAGAATATACCTCATAATCATCGTCATCACTTTCTTCATCAAATTCGCCAAGTTGTGGAGCTGTTCCTTGTAGCTGAATTATTTCGGGAACTTTCCGACGACGACGTTTGATTTTATCTTGCAAATAGTTATTTGCTGTATAAAAATATAATATAAGCAAGCAATAAATAATTATATCATGACATTAAATTAAGATTTTAAAAATTTAATTTCGTACTATCTAAAAGATAATCAGCTGCTGTGCGTCCATCACGCACGTCGCGTTCATCCATCATCCTTTCTAAATTTCTCCGTGCAGTAATATCTAAATCTTCATGAGTTTCATCATCAATATGATCTGAATCATAACGGTCTAACTCAGGACGCTCTTCATAATCCCTAATTCACAATAATAAAAAACTCATATACGTTAATTTTAACAAATAACATTAAAAAGTTCAATTCTCATTTAATATAGATACCTTTCAAAATCAGACGGATACAAATTCTCTCCGTCTTCCTCTGATACATCTGATATATCATCTTCAATAAGATTTTCTTCCACTTCTACGTCACCATCAGTATCCGATGGAGGTGGGGGACTTGTCAAATTCAATAAAGAACCAGGAGAATAAGGGTTTTGAGAAGGCCTTTCTGCGCTTGGTTCTCTTGGTCGTTTTCTTTCAGCCTATTAACGTGTTTAAAAGCAACCCTTTTTAACGTAAAGCTTATAATAATACGCGTTTATGCAAAGAAAAAAAAAAAAAAATAGTATTATATAGTATTTTTACATACCATACTGTGATGTCAAATTTTAACGATAAAAAAAAATTGTAAAAATAATGCAAAGACGAGAGAAATTATTGAAATGAAGAAAATCTAAAATCCATTTATGTTGATTGAACACGCGTAGAACCGGTGTTACCACAAAACTAACTCATAAATGGTATTATTCAACGTGATAAATCTCATATTGATAAGCACGTTTTTACAGTGGATTTGGAATATTTTAAGAACCACTAATCTTTTACATTATTTTTCACGCAAAAATTATAATTATATTAATTATAAAGCCTTAAAAATAAAAAAAATTTTCTCGTGATGTTCAAAAATTACATTAGTACTAAAGAAACTTAACATATCAAAATTAAAAATTTTTTTATAAATGTACATCTTTAAATCCTCTTTTTAAAGTACCTATTGAATTTTCTATACAAACCAAAAAAAAGAGAAAAATATTCATTGAGTCAGTAATCTCTGAAAAACATTTATTCAATTGATTTTTTTTTTTTTTAAAATGTCTCATTTTCTTAATTGCAAATATTAAACAATATGCTTGTTAGTTAACGTTCTCAAAAGAATTTTCCTTCTCAATTATCTTCTATAAGCCAAAGTTATGTTTTAGAAAAAAAATAAAGATAAACGACAAAATTCTTTATAAAAGAAAAGATAAATAAAAACCCCTCTAAATTACCTTCTCTAAGAGGAAATCGGAAGAGAAATGCAGAGTTGAAGAAAAGAAACTAAAAAGTTTCTTAATTTACGAAGTACCATATTCTCTTTTGTCTTTCTTGTTATAGCATCTACAGATGTTAATAAGATTCACTCCATTTAAAATGTAATAAGTTTATTCATTATTCTAAAATTGTATTTTGATAACTGGTATTTGATTGAGCATCTTGAGCGAGAATATATACATTGTACATCAACTCAAGGGAGTTTATTCGTAAGTCAATCTGATTTCTAATCTGAATCCAAGTTTTAAAAACCAATAAATGTATTTATAAATAAATTCTATTAAATTAATTAAATGTTATAAAAACTAATAAATGCATATCAATAATCAATTAAATATGTTCTATAGGGAAATAACAATTAAACTTCGTCAAAAGTTCTATATTTTTTAATTAAAAATCTTAGCTAAAAAGACAACTTTTTATTAATATTGCAAAGGTCAAATATAAAAAAGTATTTAAAAATTGTAATCAAGTGTTTAATAACATTGATAGGCTAAAAATGGTTTTTTTTATGAACATTTCATCAGATGAATAAAGGGAAAAGTATGATCACTATCAAACGACGCATTCAATACATACTTTGCCAACATGTCCTGTAATACTTCCCGGGAATTGAATTGATGAATTCAAAAAGTTCTGTAATTAATAATATTAAATTATCTTAAGGGTCAAATCTAGATAGAACAATCTCAAAATGATAAAGCTCCCAGTGGTTCAGGTAAATCTGACGTAAGGAAGGAATTATCACTGGTTCGGTTATTGGAAGTATATTTGGAATACTTTATTAGCAATTGCGTGTATTGACGTTATGAAAATGAGTATATTATGTATATAATAATTAATTAAATATCATCTTATATATTACATTAATGCATTTAATGGTATTAGAACGATTAAATAGTATAAACCCAGCTAATAGTAAGTCAAAATCAAGTTTTGAATACTATATTCTACAAAAAAAAAAAAAATTGGTAAGCAAAAAGCCAAATTTATGACAAAGTTTATTGTTTCCCTCAAATAATAATAACTCGTGTAAACGTGAATCAATACATACGGTGCAAATTATTCAATTTCAAAAAATCGTTTAACGTCAAGAATTCCATTCCATAGAACGTCAATATTCACTGAAGTAATGATTTAAATCGACTCAAATAAGTAGGATCGATTTTATCAGAAAACTCTATTTAAATCTGAAACTAAGATATTAATCCAGACTCGTCATCAAATCAATGATTTTTCCTTTTTAAATTGTGAATATACTGTACATACATAACCCGAGATTCGATTTTCGATCAATATTTATGGCGCAGCGAATTTTTTCAGAACGCAATAAAAAAAATATATTTGCTAAGAAAACACATTTATGTTTAACAAAGTGCTTTCTGGCTATTATCTTTTATTGTTTCATAGTAGCTAATTTGATACATAAGGAAAAGAGGAAAAGAATTCCAGAATACGAATTACATAATTTATCCCTTAACTTCATGCTCAATAAAAAAAATCCCGTCATATTCCTTCTTTGCTTTTATCACTGGTTTTGATCAGCAATTATTTCGCAAAGAATTTTCACACCTGCAAACAATATTAATCCGTTATTTTTCATGGCAAAAAAAAGTAACAAATCAAATCATAGTTACATTGAGCACAATTTGTACGACTCGATCGAATCATGTTGTAAACAATAAATATGGTTGGTTACTGGCACGCGTCACGTTAGTTTATCAGGATCGATTAAGTGGATCGGTTTGACTGACTGCTGATCGATTTAATAACCAATCATTTCAGGGCACATTTTGCGGTCAATCCGATCCGATCTAGAATTGAACAGGGCTACTGTACATAATAAAATTCATAAGCCACGAAGTACAGGCAAATTATGTGTGCAGTATTTTGCTTTTACTGATAGCCCAAAAGATCTAGCACAGAGCGGGCAAGTTCTTCTAAAAATTCTTATGTACAGAATTATATCATTCCCTTTTACATCACATTTCTCATTGCTAGGTTCTATTATACCTGGTAGAATGCAATGAATGCGAAGAGAGCCAATGTGGTTAAAAAATTATGCAGTTTTCCGGTGCCACAGAACCCTTGTTATCTTTTTTTGATATAATTTCGTGAAATCCGTTAATATAAAATCAGCATTTCAACTTAAATTAATTGCAAAAATCTATCGGAAAAACTCCCTTTTCTTGTAACCATGCCTCTTCAAATAAATTCTCTTTGATCATGGCTTTCAAAAACATCTATTTCATCTCTAAACTTTCTTTTGTACTTCAACTCCAATCCGATTATTCCATCACTGACAATATTCAATCTACTGAGAAACTCTTCAACTCTATATCGGTGCCAATGAATGCTGACATAATTAAGTGCTGTCAAATTTATTCTTGACTTATCTTACATTAATTCTTATTAGTCCAGTAAAATTTTTGGTACTTAACAATGGTTCCCTGTTAATACAAAATCAATTCACAATTAAAAATAATGTACCTGCAGCTGAGAAACAGATTATCAAGCATTCTTTTATAAGCAGAATAAGTATTTTCGTGTGTAAAAACATCTTTAACTAGGATATCAAGGAGCATTTCTAAGCTACTGCGGAACATTTCAATAGTATTAACGAGTCATTTTAAGTACCTTATTTAGTGTGAAATTTTCCATTTCATTTTCGACTATCACAATTTCTTCAACAAGACTTGTAACGAAACAGGGACGTCTCTCAAATAATAAATACGGTTGACTTCACAATCTGAAAGGTCAAGAAATCAATTCAGTACCAGAAATGATCACATTAACAGAAAAGTTATTTATAAATTTCAAAATGGGTGTTAAAATTCCTCGAGCATTGCTATTTGGACTCGGAAACTTCCCAAAGAAAAGTTTGTGAGCAACGCTGGCTTCATCATTAGCCATGATCAATCTTCGGTTAATAAGTAAATTTTTATGAATTAAAAAAATAAACAAATATTAGAAAACTTTAATTTTCCTTCTATCTTTATAACAACTCATTAATAAGTTTAATTCCAGTATTTGTAATACGTGTATTCATACATATATTGATATGAAAGCCTATTCTGCATTTTTGTTTAAAAACGGTCCTTTGAGCCATTAATTCACACCTTTCCTTTGAAATCGCACTAATGCTTTGCTTATCGATTATATAAAGCTCTGGGATACTCAGTCATGTGATATCATTGTATAAATAACAACAGTCTATAAAACAATACTTTTGTTAGAGATTTTAATAACGTGATTTATTAGCAGGATGAATATTACCCAATTTGTAAAGTATAATATCCTACACTTCGCTTCAGACTATATTCGAAAATATTACTCTAATGGTTATCAAATATGTTCTTTTAATTGTAAAAATTTAAAATTATGACACATTTAATTGTTCTTAATCCAATATTATACAAGATATGTCCCTTAATCTTACGGCAATTATATTTAATTAAGGGATCAATATTATGCATTTTGCAATTTTTATATATAAAAAAGCTGATTCAAACATTTTACTTATATGTTAACTCCAAAATCTAATATGTATAATTTCTTGTAATTTTCATACAAATATATTCAAAACCTATAATATTTAAAAATAAATTATTTAAATATTATTACAAATATAGTTTTAAAGTATCTTCTGTTAGAAATTTTAATCCAAATAATGTGTAACGCAATACATTTTAGCAGATTTCATATAAAATTTAAAATCGGCATTCTCAATTGATGATGTATCATTAACTAATATTGTAGAGCCGATAAATCTATATATATTATTTAAATATAAGAGATTTATACTTGATATATAAAGGTTACGTTTGACTTTTGTGCTCTGTTTTGACAATTTTAGCAGCTTTATCATATTAAATTCAAAATCAGCATTCTCAATTAACAATTTATCATTAAGCAATATTGTAGAACTAATAAATCTACATATATATTCCTAATATGAGAATTTTATAATTGATAGATAAAGATTACACTAAACTTTTGTATTCTGTTTCTCAATTAAAAATTTATTGTTAAGCAATATTGTAGAGCTAATAAATCTACATATATTTTCCAAATATAAGAATTATATAATTAATAGATAAAGATTACACTTGACTTTTGTGCTCTATTTTGACAATTTTAGCAGTTTTTTCATATTAAATTCAAAATCAGTATTCTCAATCGATACTTTATCATTAAGCAATATTGTAGAGCCAATAAATCTACATATATACTTCAAATATAAGAGATTTATACTTGATATATAAAGGTTACGCTTAACTCTCATGCTCTGTTTACAATTTTAGCAAATTTTCATATGAAATTCATAATTGGTATTCTTAATCGATATTTTATCTCTAAGTAATATTATAGAGCCAATAAGTCTATATATATTATTTAAAAATGTGAATACATCACTTGTTGGATTAAAGTTACACCTGATTTTTATATTCTGTTTAATGATAGGTAGATATTTGCAGCTAATGCTCTGAACGGTTCAGTTCAGTCCAGATTATAGGCCAATTCGAAACCGAACTGAAAATTCCGGTTCAGTTCGATTCAGATTATAAATCTTAAAAATGCTAATCCGAAACCGAACTGAACCGTAAACTGGTAAAAATCCGAACTGAACTGAAAATTTTGGATTAATCCGAAATTTTCGGTTCAGTTTGGATTTTTTTCAGTTCGGATTAGATTTATAATCTGAAAAAAATCTGAACTGAACTGAAAGATTTCGGATTGAAATTTTTGCAATCCAAAACTGAACCGAAGTTGATCTAAACCGAAAATTTTCGGATTAATCTGAACCGTTCAGAGCTTTACATTTTAGTAAAGCTTTCTGGTTAAAATATATGAAGTTTTCTGAGTCCTTTTTTTTGATAGTCTAATCCTAAGATAGTT